TACCTAGTTTGGGTGAAAGTATGCACATGGCCAATTTTGATAATTTTTCCAAATTTTTCTACTTGATGTAAGTTTGATAGGCAATTTAAATGCAGCTATGTCCTCATCCCCCATATGACTCAGTACAACCCATGACAAATGGATTTTGCTTAAAAGTTTGGCAGATTATCTGCCAGGTTTCGAGGAACGAAATTGCATGACTGGAGATTATCCTCATCCCTGTGATTTGGTTACACATGTGACAGTCAAGTGAAGTGGTTTGTGGCATGTTATTTCTTCTACATTGAGTATGAAACTAGTGATGTACCAAACAGCCAGTCTTGGAAAACATGCAGAATTAGTTTAACAGTCAAGTAGGTCAAAAAGTTATTCGTGAAGAGTTGGCAAGCCTGTTAACATGAGCTGCAGGATGACAGGCCTGGAACCTGAGAATGTGTGTTGTCCTGGAATAGACAAAACCTTTGCTGTGAGACATGATTTTGATTCTGCTTCATTGAGTCCCACCCCGAGTTGAGAGATGACCAGTTTAACTGGAGAAGCTTAGCATGATAAGGCCTTTAACTGGTCTGGGTGTGTTAATCCGTACCGTGCATGCTCATTATTTATGTTGTGAATGATTAAATGATTTAAACTTCTTAAAAAATAACTTAAAATTCTAGTTATTTAAGATCTTTATTGATGATTAACATGAACTACAAAGGATATAGCATCTAGCTAGCTTCTTTAATGAATGCAGCTGTTAAATCTGTACTGAGCTTCTTTTATTAATATGTGGACTCCATATTGTTCTGTTCATGGAGCATTTGATAACCTCATGAACGTCAAAGCTGAGTAGATTTGTCTAAGTCAGGTGTGAAATAGCCAAATATATGGTAGGTTGCTTAGTGATAAGAAGATGACTCAAAAATCAAGGTTTGCTTTTCATTCTCAGTTTACCCTTCTGCATTTTTTATTTCCTTAACCTACCCCAAATTTGCATCTTTACTATCTCTTATGAAAAGACACTATTGTGTGTGTGTTGTAATTTCCTCAAATACAGGGAAGTCCATCAGGTCATATGAGAAGAAAGTGATCTTTGCTATTTTTCTTAAGTAGCAGAAAAAATTTTTAAGCGATGGTTTGGGGAGGGGTGGAGAAGAGGATTACCATCTGAATTTTTGATTAAGTTCTCCCTCTTCCTTTATACTAGGTCTAATTTTAAACCAAACTAGGCATTTATAGGACTGGTTTTTATATGTATCTTCTTGTATATAATTAGGCATTCTGTGCCTATCTTCTTTTGTACATGATATAACAGTTTACTTATTTAGGCAACTTTAAAAACTCTGATTTCACATGGGCTGAAAACAAAATTATCTTGCAAGCCAATTGGCATGATTTAATATTATTCTAGTGTTGGTCTCTCTTGGGTACCGTTAGGTTGGCACTTTTAACATTTGGATCAGGAATGTGCTAACTGCGGCACATTTTGTTGAACATGTGTTATTGTAGTCCTACAGCGTGGCAGATACCATGAGGAGGGTACAGAGACATAAGCAAAAAGGAAAATGCTCACTAGGATTGAGAGAGAGATGGATGAACGACCAAGTGTGATCCTTTCCTTCTGTTCTAAGTAAGATTATATCCTGATCTGGATCAGTCTCCAAAATCGGAG